TCGGAAGAGGGAGAGAACAGACGGGATGCCGGAAGGAAGATCTGTCCTTGGGTGGGAGAACTGGACTTGCTCTCTTCTCATTCTCCATGTGCAGATGAGTTGCCCCTGAACATCTTCTGCTCCGGTAATGTTGGCAGGGGGCTTCGGGAGCAGTGAGGAAGTGCCCACCCCATCACACACACACGCATGAAGGTGCATAACCCGTTCAGAGCACTGAGGGCCACCGTGTCTTGTGGCCAAACTAGGACTGGCCACGATCAGTTTGTAAGGAAGGCAGAGGTCATTTCAGGGGGGATTGCGGGGGATCGCAGTTCCCCCGGGTGAGGTAGGGGGCGGGGCACATGACGAAGCCCCGCCCCCCGCTTCCGGTCGCCCCGCTTCCGGCCCTCATTCAGCCAGGAGGAGGCAGGAGAAGAGGGAGGGTAAGTTGCTTCCTCCCTGCCTCTCCCCACCCCTGCCTGCCTGGGGCCAGGGAGGGCCTTCGCGGGGCTTCCTTGCACTCCCGCCGGCCTTGCAGGTCCACCGTCGGGCCCCTCATGGGGCTCTGCAGTGGAGCTGCAAGGCCAGCGGCGGCGGCCGGGACCGTTGGGGGCGGGGTGTGTGGCCTTATGACACACTTCCGGTGATGTCAGGGGGCGTGGCATATGCTAATGAGTTATGCTAATGAGTTCCCCTAGCTCTTTTTCTACGAAACGACCCCTGAAGGAAGGCATGCAGAAGTGGCCAGGTTCAATCCCTGGCAGCATCTCTAGCTACAAGGACCAGGTGGCAGGTGATGTGAGAGAGAGAGACCTCGTCCCTGAGACTGGTTTGCCGCTGCTCGTCTGAGTAGACAGTACCGATCTTGATGGACCAAGGGCCTGATTCAGTATAAGGCAGCTTCATCTGTCCGGTCCTGCCCCCCCTGTAAAAACTCACTAGGTGTCTTTGGCCCAGTCGGCATTTCTTAGCCCGACCCACCTCGCAGGGTTGTTGTGAGGGTAATCGGCCGACCCTCAGAGGAAGCGTGAGATTAAAGATATATTTGATGAGGCAACGGGTTGTGCCTGAAGCCAGGGGTGGTGTTTTCTCTGGCTCGAGCAAGGCAAGGGGGCGGTGGGGTGATTCTGTGCTAAATATTGCATGTGTGACACTGCAAAAATAATGTATTTTTAAATCACTCTGGTTTTTTTTTTAAAGATCTGATTATTCACACTTGGATATCATTAAGAATTTTGGCCCTTGCCGAGTGAGGGAAGTTGGGGGTGGGGGACAGTGGCAGTTAAGCTGTTTCAAAACCAGGCAGACCAGAGAGAGAGGCATCTGTAATGAAACTGCAGTAAAAAAAAAAGGGCTGTCAAGTTACAAAGGAAACTCACCAAAGAGATAAGGTAACTCAGGACCCTGTTCAAGGGCTACTTTTGACTGTAGATGTGTTGAGTGGTCCAGGGTGGAGAATAAGACGGAGGACACTGGAGAGGAGATGTGTCTGGATCGGGCTTGTCTCCGGTGGGTGCAGGACAGGGATCAGCAGCACATCTGGCCCTCTAAGTAACACCACTTAGCCCCTCTGCTACTAATTTCCATGCCAGAGGCGAGAAGAATGCAGTTGGGGGCGCAGTGGCTGTGGTGAGCGAGCGATTTGGCTACAGCATAAATTAGTTTGCTCTGGAGCCATCCTTCCTGAGCGGACACAAAAATGTGTGAACCGGAGGCTAGAGAACTGTGAGGTGGCTCACACTAACTCAGCTTAGAGGGAACACTGGTAGGGTGTGCCCTAGTGTAGCACCCTCCACCCCATGCTCAAAGAGGCCTTCTGGTAAATTGGGGTGAGGGCTGTAGGGAAAACCTGCAGGTTACAACTTTCCTCCTCCTCCCCCGTGCCGGGCAGGCCGAAAAGAAGAGAGCCATGTTGCCTTTGTCGTGCTTTCAAGATGTGCTCCACAAATGTTCAGTGGTGGTGTGAGGTTAAGAACTGAACTGAAGCGGAGCTTATCCACCTATGACTCTCTTTTCATTCATCCCGTCCCCCTTTCTGGAAGCTGGGGGGGGGGGCAGGGTACCTAGTTCTCCCTCCCTCGGTTTCAAATGAGAGCCAGGTCTTTGCTGCAAAATCTGTCTTGGGGTCTCTTGGTCCAGCCGGGAGGATGTGTAGTCAGACAGTATGTGAACACCACCTTCTATTTGGCACTGCCCCCAACCAGCCCCTGAACAGGCGAGATTATCAGAAGGAAAGGCTTTTCCGGTCAGAGGTTGTGGCTTCCAGGTTAGTCCTGACCCCACTTAAATTGGTGTAGCATCATGGTTAAGGGGTGTGTGTGTCGTGAACTAGGAAGCCCCCATTTTGAACTTCAGCTCAGCCCAGGGGTCATTTCCTGCAGGAGCGCACAGGAGCGGAGCTCCGGCAGTGAAGAGCCCAGGGGGCGGGCACATGCAACAAGCCCCGCCCCCTGCTCCCAGCAGCCCTCAGTCAGAGCAAGAAGCAGCCAGGTAAGTTGCAGAGCTCCCCCCGCCCCCCCGGTCCAAAACAGTCCAGTGGCACCTTTAAGACCAAGTTTTGTTCAGGTACAAGCTCTCCCTCCTTTGAGAGGACAGATCTACACATTCCTCCCCCCCTCCAATAGCTAGCAATCCAGAACAGTCCAGTGGCACGTTTAAGGCCAAGGTTTATTCAGGCACAAGCTCTCCCTCCTCTGCGAGGACAGATCTGCACGTCCCCCCCCCCCAATAGCTAGCAATCCAAAACAGTCCAGCGGAGCCTGAGCGGTGGGTGTTGCCTTCTGACCCACTCCCAGAGATGTCAGGGTGTGTGGCATATGCAAATAAGTTATGCTAATGAGCTATGCTAATGAGCTTCTGCACCTCTTTTTCTACGAAATGACCCCTGCCTGTCAGCATTCAGAGAAATACAGTATAACACTATTTGTTTTTATTTTTTAACTTTTAATTTGTGCGCATGCGCACGAAACCTGATACCCAGAATAAAACTTTGTTGGTCTTAAAGGTGCCGCCGGACCCAAACTTTGTCCTGTCATTGGAACAGTCTGCTCTGAGTCCAGCATCTACTCAGAGGCCGACAAGAGGTTCTGGGTGTCGGCTGTCGAGAGTCACATCGCCCCCGGAGTTGTGACTCTCAAAAGCTTCCACCCGGAAACTCGATCTCAGAGCTGATTGTCCCAGTGACAGACCAACAGGGCTACCCTTGGGAACTGTCATTATTGGAATGCTTCCTTGTTTCTTTGCCACGGATCTTTCTCAGACGTGCGGGAGAGATGAGGTCACAGGCATTTTAAAAGCCCGAGACAGACAATCCAAACCCACCATGAGGGGTTTTGTAAAAAAAGACAGCACGCGAATAATAATTAATTAAATGGGAAATTTGCCACCCCCTTGCCTGACCTGGTAGGCAGAGCCAGCTCTGGTGGGGGAAGCCCAGACCTTGAATGAAAATGTGGCATCTCTGTTCCCGCTTTCTTACGT